AGAAAATTAAGATGTAACTGAAGTGGCGAAGCCGTCAGAGTAAAAGGAGAGAAAGAGTAAACGAGTGTTTCATGTTATTTTAATGGTTACTTTAGTTTAGTTTTCTGGACTCCAGTTTTCTTTCTGCTTGAAAATAAAACTAGTCGCRTCTGAAATATCAGGCACAGTTGCGGGTAAGGGACCGCAATAAGGGGAATAGGAATAGAGAAGAAGAGAGGAACTATTTCATTTTGACAACACTGACTAACAAAATGTGCGCTGTTGCTCAGACGTGTTTTAATACTCCACAGTAGCCGTGATCATCACACGTCACAAGAGAACTGTCAAGCTTGATGACTGACATAATAATAATAACAATGGCAATACATACATGGTTAGATCAGTATTCGCTTCTTAGTCACGAATATCACGATATTCTTCCTATTTTTCTTCCGCTATCTTTGTTAATTTGCTACTAATAATGTGGCAACCACCGATAGAAACAGTTCTTCGATCAGCTATGGATACAGGATCTAGCCAAACTGACCAGTCCTCGAAAMTCAATTATTGTGCTTCACTTTTGGGGATATTTTCATTTGGGATTTTCATCGCATCGAWCATAGTAATCACCGTGTGTGACCCGAAAGACGAGGTTTCTTTTCGAATCCTTGGCGCAGTTCTATTGCTAATGTCTCTGATTATAGCCTGGATTGCATATCGTTTGTATGTTCACGTTAAAGCACCAAGTACTAGCACAGTGCCCTCACGATTACAAGGTGTTACGAGTGATGTTCATGGAGGTAACTTGCAGTATCGAGAAGAGATGACTGAATCCCCTCCTTCATACGAGGAGAGTTTAGACCCCTCACAACTCCATGGTGCTTATGCTTACGATCAGTTCTTCCTAGAACTCAAWATTTCTGATCTTAGTCAGAATAACAAAGATCTGTCCGCGTACTTGCCTTGTTACGATGAAGCAATCATGTGTACGGTGGTACRTCAAAATAGATCGAGTTAAAAGAGATTTTAATTTTTTTTAAACTGACTGACAAGCTTTGTCTCGGCTGTTCCAACGCTTAGAATCTGGGAACCTGGAACGCTGAGGAACCTGGAACGCTGAGGAACCTGGAACGCTGAGGATGCCGGATTGCAGTCTCAAATTCCAAGGGCTGAAATCAAATGAACACTATAGTCACGCAAACTATTCTTACTCTGTCGTTAATATTTTTATTTTTATTTCCCTCCATATTATCGTACCTGCTTTTCAAGAGAGAGAGAGAGAGAGAGAGAGTGAGAGAGAGAGAGTGAGAGAGAGAGGGAGAGAGGGGGTTGGCTAGTTTTTATTTTATTTGTCCTGGTTTCTGATTAGCTCAAATTAAGTTTCTCCACCATGCTTGTAAATAGCCTACTGGTTTGCCTCCTTGCAAGTTGGGATTCTTAAAACACTTTATGTTTCTTTGATTATTTCTTCATTTCAGTTTATTTTCAGTGTCCCCAATTAGTTGCATAAACTAAATACATCGACACTTAAATAAAGTTATTTATTTATTTATTTATTATTATTTAAAGATTCGTTCCGGGTCAGTAACCTACAGATTGACGTCACCCCAATTAGCACAAAACCCAACTTCCTTGTTTRGAGTAGTATCTCAACGATTTACTAGCCACTCTTAAAAAGTCTCATTTTGCCTCGTGGCTTGAGAAAATTCTTATATAACTATTAACTCCCGTCCACGTATGTTCAACAATAAACCAGTGGAAGATTTATTAATTCAACCTGGACTCATCACCGCAGATGATAATCAGACAGACTCAGACTACAAYGGATTTGATTCCTGATCTGCAGAACGAACCGCGTTTGCAAACGGAGAGACGGAAGCGTTATGCCTGTTGTTGTAAATTCTGTATTTTCGTCTTATGTTTGCTAATTCTTCTGATATTCATCATTATTGACGCAGTCGCTGGTGACTATCGAACGCTTGGATTTCCATTTTTGTTTCTATTTCTGATACTAGCGTTGTATATTTATCATCGACGAAAGAGCGCGAAGGATGATGAACAGTTCACTACCTACATCTTACCGACTAGTCAAATGGATGGACCACGTTACTGCAATATGGCTGGACAATGCGATGGTTCTACAGAAAGAGGGGACGATTGTCAACCTATAGCCGAAGTGGTTCAGGTTTTTGTATAAGCTTTTAGCAAGATGAACGTATCCTTGGTTCTTTAGATTTTTGATTCAAGATTGCCTGTTTTTACCGCTGTCAAAACTGGCTCACAGTACAATAGGGAACTTGGATTTGAAACATTTTAATAGCTCAGTGATTAAAAAACGACAGGGGTTGGTGGTATCAAACTGGAAATACATCAACAAAAATTACTCCATAGGTTTTTAAAATAATTATTATAGGATTTAGTTCAAGTTCTACTGAATAAAAAATAACAGAACATGCAGAATCTAAAGTATCAAAAAGACAATATATATGTCTATATAAAACCGGCCGAAAATTCGCGTTGGTTGAAAATTCTAGGTAAATTAGTGATCAAAAGTTCAAAAMCTTTATTAAACCTGCACGAGTTCAAATCGTGCTCTTTGCCAACCAACACCGGAATTTTTAGAAAACTTTTAATTAAGCACATGTCGGTTCTTCAATTATTTGTCTGCCCCCTGCCATTATTAGAGCATCAATGAATGGAAAACGGCGTCACACTTTCGAAACAACTTCACTGTCTGGTCACCACTGTCAAACTAAAAAATATATAACATCCTTTGAAAAAATCAAACGTGACATCGGACCATCCAATMAAAATGCTTTACGATCACGATACGTCCTTGGCAATATTAATATTCCCACGTTTTTATATGAAACTCACTGCTCTTCCTAATTTTTCCCTTTTTTTCTTTTGCTCTCTTTATTTACTCTATATATGTATGCCCAGCTTATGTTCAAATATGTTAGTATGGATAAATAGTCATCATAATAAGTTGGCGGCCATCTTCTCCTAAGGCCTACCCTGGGGTGCAGAAGTTATYTATTCTGGCTCCGGTATCCCCCTTGTGCTTTAGATATCGATTGCTTCGCGGAATATGATTTGTTGGCCGCGTCTTATTCTACCTTACTCAAGGTTAGATTCCACGATAGTCTTGCCCCATTTCGACCTCTCGTCTCCCGCGAGAGTATTCTATTCGAGCAAAGCGAGGAGATTGTCGAGCGCATCGAGCGAGAGACGAAGTCACAGTCAGTCGTACATATGCTTTAGAGGAAATTAAAATATTTTTGATGCCTCATGCGTGCGCACGTCAGAAACCCTTTTGAAGTTTCAGTTTACTGAGAGAAAAACTGCAGTCAGAAAACAGGGGCAGCAGGTCCAGTAATTTTTGAGAGGGGGGTTTAAACAATACCTGTTGGGACTTTTTGACTCCCCCTCGCCATCTCAAAAGCAAGCTCTTTAAACGAAAAAAGTTTTACAGTCAATGAACTAATAACGCGCATGTACATCCATATAAAGAAATTACTGTACAAACTTTTATTTATTTTACAAAAATTATAAAATGGTATTATTACACCAAGAAATTACAGTTCTGAATCTAATGCAAGACTACAAACGAACTTTGTTATATATACAGCAATTAAAAACGCCATATTTTAAATTATTAATTAATTATTTTTGATTAATCTAACATTAATTATTTAATCGATTAATWAATGATTTTGATCCAATTTAATTAATTTAGTATACCTTGTAAAGAAACTTTTAATTGCTTTCTAATTTCATTATTTTAAATTTAAGTTCTGTAATTATTCTTCAGGGCTAAAAATATTAGGAAAATTTAAAAAAAATTTGACTCAAATTGTATAATTCTATGAAATGTAAAAAAAACATACATGAAACGCTGTTTAAGTAAAAAATATTTATCTTTGCAGTTATTATCAGAAACTTGGATCCCTTTTATACATTGATAAAGGGCATGCAWAAGAATTCTACTGAGAACTAACAATGTAGGCATATTAAAAGTCACAGCAATCCAGGAAAGAGATCGCTGTGGGAAGAGACATTGAACTAACAACCTCAAGTTGGAGGAGTGTTTTAAAATAGGTGTATTATGTCAAACATTACATTAAAGCAAAGGAGACGGGAAAATTGGGAGGCAAACAACAAGAAAATAATTTCTAGTTATGATGATCTGTATGTCACTTTTCTTGTAGTTTTTCTTACTACGTACTATTACCAACCAGCACAAAAATATGTATGCATACTATAGCCTGACTGTGGCACTATAGCTCTCTCCTTCCCCTTCTCCCCCCTCCTCAATTCTCTAGAGCACCGCTACGCAGGCTATGCATACTATGCATAGTTAATCTTATATTCATTTAAATCCGAGATGGATCAGGACGCCATTCACGCACATATGGTTTTGCTTTTCATGCGTCCATCTTCCACATCAATGTTTTAAAGAACATTTTCTCCAGGCACATTGAAACTTCAGACCAATTTCCTTTTCCTTACTCTAGACTTCATGGGCAGACCTTCTTTTCTGTATTACAAGAAGAGGTCTTTGAGGCCTGTTTTACTCCAAACACCTTGAAAGAATCTTTACAGATACATAACTTGTATTTATCAATTGTTGGGGAAATGTTGCTCTTGAGGTGGAGGGCGATCTCTGGTGAATCAAAAATGATGCCTTTTCCCTGAAAAAAAGAAATCATATTGCAATTGCTTAAAGCACTTTTAAAGGCAAATGTTTATTGGCCATTTTAAAAAGATATTTTTTTGGAACTCAAGAGTGAAGGAGTGACTTTGGACAGAAAATGTGCTTGACGTGAAAATCATATGACATGAATTTTTTAAGAAAAAATTAATTTTGTTCTTTTGCCAAAAATGCACAATTATAAATATATTATAAGTAATAATATATAATAGGAGTGGTCGATTTGTATAAATCAACTTTGTTTATAGAGGATAACACTTGACAGTAATTAAACTGATAAACTTGTGGTCCTCTGTTAACGTCTCTAGTTAAATTAGGGACAGGACCGCCATTAACTTGATCATCCGAGCCACTTGAAGGTCTAACCATTTGCAGATGTAATAGCAAAGGTAGCACCTTCTCCTCAGTTATTTTAAGACYCTGAGTGTTGGTCCGCCTGAGGCTTGAACCATGACCTCCCGCACAYGGACTGACGCTCTTACCAACTGAGCTAGCCAGGTGGCGGTATGTTTGGTATGTATGTATGGGGAATTTACAAGCATGAACTTATCAAAGGTCTAAGTTAGTTCTTTTGTGTTCTATTAAACATTTTAAAGATAAGATTGAATTGAGCAGAGAAAAAAATTCCAAGTTAAAGTTTATGCAAATCTGGACGATTTTGTATTAGCATTAACAAACTCCTCCAAGGTCTTGATTAATACTTTGATAAGCTGCAACTACGCTGCAGTACATTTTTTTAAATATATTTATTCTTAATCTAGAAAAGATATAATGAAGTATTTGTAGACTAATGTTTACCACAGTAGAGGTGATAGTGATATCTTTTTCTGCATTGAAGCTCAAAGATTTTCCATCCATCTTAATGCCTTCATTTCCTCTTATTTTAATGTCTTTATCAGAATTTAATGTGAGGTTTTCATACTCATTGCTAACAATCTGTTGAATAAAGGGTCCAAATGAATAAGATAATTAAGATATAAGGAATTAACTAAATTGCTGGGTTAAGATCAGCTGATCTTTGAATCTCATTATCTACTCTAAATGATGGTCATGCAAACACTGACCATGAKGTGCTGTCATTCAGGATGACAAAAAAATTAATAATAATAATAGTAATTAGTATAAATACACAGGTGATTATTGAAAACTTCGCGTGCTGATTGGTCAAGTAGTATAAATACACAGGTGATTATTGAAAACTTCGCGTGCTGATTGGTCAAGAAATTCAGATTTTCACAAGATTATCACCTCCAGCGATAATCCAAAATGGCGGCCAGCTGCTTTGTTGCTGTTACCTAATTTTAAATGTGTCTTTTATCTTCATTTTCTTCTTTTTTTGAAAGACTCACCTGTGTTACTATTTATACTAAAACAATTAATCACCTCAGGCTCAGAGAATATCGGGAATAAAATAACCTCAACTTCATTTCTAAAGACTCACCTGTGTTTATACTAAAACGTATATATATGTATTTTATATTTATACTAAAACAATTAATCACCTCAGGCTCAGTGAATACCGGGAAAAAAATAACCTCAACTTCATTTCAGTTCTATTCCCCAATATTCACTTTGCCTTCAGTTTAACCCAGCAATATGCAATCTTACCCTATGGGAMAGAACAGTGTTGATGCCAATGTCATTTCCATGGACAGATTGTTGTAAAAATTGTGAACTACTTCCATCAAAGCTAACGATCTCTTTCTCCACAAAAGGATCAAYAAACTTGAGGCCCTTTTTACCAATGATAGTGGTATTGCCATCTGAAATGTGAACTAAGAGAAAAATACTTTCTTGTTATTTTAATGAGACAGATGAGAGTTTCAGGGCATGGCCCAAGGGCAGATCTAGCCAAAATTTTAGGAGGGGCTAATTTAGTTTAGTGGAGGCCGGGGGGGGGGCTAATTGACTTTCTTCCATCAACACAACGGAAAACAATAAAAAAAGCATCTAATTCTTCAGTTTTGTTTTCTTCAGCCCCCCTTTGCCCCCGTGGATCTGCCCTTGTGGCCAATGTTAAAGTATTGTGAAAAAGATATATCAATCATTGGTATATCAATAATGAATACCTACCTTGTGAGCTCAGAGTTGATGGGCCACCATGCAAAACAATCTGAAAAACCCAATACAATAAATGTATTGTCCAATTCCCATTTCAAACCACACATCATTTCCTTGAGTATCATACTTTTGTCTACCAGTAATGCTTGATAAGATATATTACGGGAATGACTGGTGATAACATTATTTTTGGCAAATAATAATTATAATAAGTTATTGAATTATGGAATAAATAAGTTCAATTAATTGGTGCCGTTAAAAACACACACAAATTGATGAGTAATAATAATGATGATGATAATGATGATAATAATATTTGATTACCTCATTTTGGGTAGTTTCAATGTTAAGATCTCTATCTTTGAAGCCTCCAATTTCATTCTTGTAAACTGTAACAGTCTCAAGATCACTGGGTTTAGTCCAGCGTATCATTCCATCTTCAAAAAAAGATAGGGACTCCACACCATCTTTATCAATCCTAATAACTCCATAAATTACAGCTAGTATCTGTCAAGAAAAATAAGACATACAAAAACAATTATTGAATAAATATTTTTTTAGTTAAAATTATTGTGAAACGTTTTGTGGTGTAAAAGTTTTGTGAGATCTTGTTCAATTACCAGTAGCTTTATTGGAAGGCAGAAAAATATAATCTCTTTCCTTGAGAAATTGAATTTTATACGTAAAAAATTGCTGGTATATAATGTTTCTGCCAACTAGGGTGACTGCTAATGTTTTTTTTTAAAAAAAAAGACATTTTGTCTCAAAAAAGATAAAATTTCTTTAGAYTCCTTGCACCTGAGAGGGTTTGGGGTTAAAACTATTTTGTTTTGAACATTCTCTCTGGTATGTTCTGCATGGCAGTGYAGTATTGAATGGGACAATGGGGAGTGGATGCAGGCATAAACATCCCTTTYCCTGCCCTCCTACCCCTTCCAGTCACCAAATTTCTACCTAAGGTCCTCTCACAGTTGAAGTTAGGCATTTCTGCATGTATTGTATAGCATATCAGAAGTTTTTTTCATATAGACCTGATTATACTAATTTTTTTTCTCAAAAGATTTGAAAGCTTTTCTTGTGTTTTTGGTTGCAAAGGGTCTATAGTTCCAATGTCAATATATAATATTTCCCAATGTTTCTAAGGCTTGGCTATGATTGACTGAATTTATTTGAATGATATATCATAGCAGTAGTACAAAAGCAATGAATTAGAAGCAACAGTTTCAATACCCACTTACCACTAAGTTGAYGATACATAATATTAAGAGTATGATCAATACTGTTAAAAACAGCCATATCTTTCTGCCTCTGATACCYGTCCTGTGCAGACTTCTCTCTGAAACCTTCACTTTCCCAGCATCAAAGATATTATCATAACCATCATCATCTTTGTCCTTATCTACTAGGTTTYGTCTTCTCTATTGGGAATAGCAATAACGTTTCAAATAAGCATGTTAGCTCACAAGAAGAGGGTGATGCAAAAATACTAGAAGAAATTTATTTTTAACAAGGGAGGGGGTGAGGAGATGGTATTTTCAAAGCACCAAAAGAAGGAATCCYCTATTCATGATATATGAACCTTCATAATGTAGTCACTAATTGATTTTCCAATAAAAATCAATGACAAAGAATGATTTCAATTTATAAAATACTTCTGCTTTGAAGAGAATGTGTTTACTTGAACTTCTGAGTTATCACGTTTGCTCCAAAACATTGTGTTAATAAAGCATAAAGTAAGCTTACTGTATGCTAACTTGCGTAAGCTTTTCTCAGTCAAGCTTATAATAATTTATTATGTGAAGAGAACGACTTAAGAGTACTGCATTTTCAACAAGGTCTGTGGTTTTTGAGGTGAATATAGTACAGTATTCTAGATAACTCTACATGAAGACAGAATTACTCATGCTGAAAGAATATTCAGGTGTGTCGAAAAAAAGAATATTYCTTAAAGCTATAAATTTATTTAAAGATTATTAACTATCAAAGAGCTACTTATTGCTTATCTTTTTTGTATCTTAAAAGAACATTTTGGTTGTGTCAGCCGCGTAGTTTTAACCACAACATTTCAAAGCGTCTTCAAACTTTCAAACTTCAATGCCTTCCACAACAATGACACAAAATTTCATTTTTCTCAGCTAAAACTAAACTTTTTTCTCTTTAAATGACTAAGGATAAGAAACTTACCCCTTGTCGATTGGATGACATTATTTCTAGGCGAGGAAGAAGTTTCTTGGTGGTAAAAACAAGGAATTTTTGTCACCATTAACGTCTTCTTCAAACTGTTCGCCTTGTCAACACATTACAATGGAAGGCTCGAGTGACAAACCGACTGTGGGAGGTCCCTTGGGGTGATATTGGTCCTGCTATTTGTAAATCGTTTCTTTTACCGAAAAAGGCCATGTAAAAATATTGCTCTACTATAAGATATGGCATTGAGAAACATATTAGGAAATTCATAAACCATTTCTTTGATTTCAAACCTTTGATTTTTCTTAAATTTATAACGTATTCCACAACTTCCTTCCAATGGAATATTGTGAATTTATAGCTCTAAATTCCTAATGAAATTATAAGAAAATATTTACAAAAACCTTTGATTTTTCTTAAATTTATGATCTGAAATTTATTAGCGCGGACAGAGCGCGGACTTTATTWCGGGTTTTGTTCATTGCGCCACAGGGAACCCAAAACATAATCCTAATMGATTTTTTCCCGCTTCGTGCTTTCGCAGTCATAGACCCGGCTTATCATAATAATTTATTGATCATAATCCTTTAAAACGTTCAAACAAAAATAAAACAAAGCATCACCTGAAAATGGAGTTCTTAATTTCCTTGCTTCATACAACACAGGGGTCCAATAAAACTACATTAATTATTGCACCGATGATTGAGTATCCAAAACATAATTAACCGCCATTAYTTATTCATCATTTTAAATGTGATTTGATTTATTTTTGAATAGTTTTTGAAGGTTTTTAAATATTTTTTTGGCGATTTCTACGTCATCAGATCGGAATGTGTTAGTGCGCAAAGGTTTGTGGGAGAAAACAATCGATCAGCGGTAAAAGTTGTGATGGAAACTAAAACAAGACGGATTTGATTTGACTCTACCGAAAAACTCTTTATTTTATACCCAAGATCTTCATCTATCTCAGTTACCATGTAAATCCTAAGTACCTGTTACAACGGCTTGGGTCACACCGGAAAAAATCGTAATCTCATGTTTAACGTATCTTGAGCATTTTCGAGATTATGTTGTGTAGTCGTTCTTGTTTTTTATACAGCACAACATCTGTGCCAAAACTAAACCGTAAGTCGAGAAAATTACGTTTGAACCTGAACAAAATGATGTACAGGAATCCTTAATAGTCCATGAATAAGTACGAAGTTCTTGGAGTCGTAGGCGAAGGTAATTAGTGTTTGTTTTCATTGTGTTTTAGTATGTTTTTAGTTCAATAATTAAACTGGTAACCCGCCAAGTAAATTATCCTCGTTTGAATTTGTCAATCAAAAACATTTCCTCAGTTTAATGAATCTTTTATTACGTTTTAGGTGCCTATGGAGTTGTTATGAAATGCAGACATAAGGTATACGATGGGTATAAAAGATTAACAATAGTTGGACGCGGTTCAAATGTTCATAAATGGTGCCAYGTTGTTTGATGTTGGACGGTCATGATTGCCATTAGATTTACATGATTGCCATCATATTTATTCAGTTAATTTGTATCCCATGGTTAAATCACTAAGATACCAGATTATCAGATCTTCTAGAAATGCGTGGTGTTTTATACAAAACATCCGCCCATCAAACGCATACGATATTTTATCCTACTATCAATGTTTACAAACATCATAACATTGATCTTTCGGACATTAAATTTGTACATAAACAAACACTATTTTAAATCTTCCAATTTAGAGCTTTTAGAAGATAATAATAACTTCATTCCTTTGTATTTTTGATAGAACTTCATTTATAATGTTATTGCATTTTGATTTTATATAAAGGTTTTAATCATGAACTCCTATTATCTCGTGTACTAAATAGATAATCCAGTACCTTATAAAAAATATAATAACGTTTTTATCAATCTGGATTGAGAAGGATAATATGGAATTAAGCAAAAACTAGTTCRTTGAAAAAATGATTAAAATTTATAGTCTTGGAATCCAATTATATGACRTTACATTCATTTAGATCTAGATCTTCATTCCATTTTATTGTTTTTTCCCTTCATCAAGGAAACAAGCGAAATCGTTGCCATCAAAAAATTCAAAGATAGTGAAGGTATGTCAGCTTTTGTCAACAATACGAGCGAGTACAGCTAAACAAGTTCAAGCTTCACCAATTTTTCCTTTCCAAATTAGAACATGATTAATATTGCAAATGCATGTTTTATCTAGATAATGATGATGTTAAAAGAACAACAYTTAGAGAACTCAAGGTTCTTCGTATGCTTAAACAAGAAAATATCGTTGAATTGAGGTAACTGGAACCCGATGCAAATGAGTACCATAGACAGCAGCAACTACATGGTAACTGGGGGGGAGGGGGGGAGGTGATGGCTTTAAAGGCATGCCCCCTGAGAATATGTAAAGCACTTGGAAATGCAATTTCCAGYGTTAAGAAAGGCATTTGTGAATTTTTACCAAGGTACAACTGCTTCACCTGCTTCATAGTGGCTATTGCCCTGGAAGTATTTTTTARTTCTATAGTAATTATATTTATCACTAATGTTTCACAGGGAAGCATTTAGAAGGAGAGGGAAGCTTTATCTGGTCTTTGAATATGTAGACAGAGTAAGTATTTTCATTAATGATAAAAGGGTGGATTATACACCATGMAAAGATGAAAAAACCGTTTCGGACGCTAGTCCTTCGTTGGAGTAAAAGAGAAACACTGATGATGCAGCTCACACTAGTTTTTAGCTAGTTATCTCTTCTAAGTATTTTCATGTTGCATATATTTTATATTTTATTGATCTAAACTGTCTTGCATACAATGCTGTTCATGTACGCATGGTATATGACTTGTTAGGGATATGCAGTAGTATTGAGTGGGAGTGCTGGAAATATGTAGATAGAAAAAAAAAGATAAAAAGATAGTGCAGTTAACAATCAATAAAACGTTTTCAAGATGATTTTTATCCTTTATGATTCTTGTTTACAGAACATGCTTGAAGTCCTTGAGGAAATGCCTAATGGGGTGTCAAATGAGGAAGTTAGGTAGGATGAAAATCTCAGCCTGGCTATGTTGACAGTTTCTCAGTTTTTTTTTTATGAGGGATATTTGATATACAAAGTAAAAAGTTATGGACACTTTGTTAATCCAATAAAAAATGAGGCATGTTATATAGGTTCAAAGGTTTAAAGATTTTTACTGGAATCACTGAGCCTGAAGTGAATAACTGTTTTAGTATAACTTTATACTTGAATAAAAATAAATAAATAAATAAAAAACATTTTAGTATTACTTCGGCTTTGGCAAACTTTGGAAAACCTTTAAATCACCTTGAGCAGTCAATAGTCTCATAAACATTAGTAGCTCAATCAATGCAAAACTCTATATTCAAGTCTAATGCTAGAGTACAAACACTAAAAGTGTGCAACACTTTGCACTATTTAGTAGTAAATAGTGCTAATTAAACAATAGAAAAATAATAGGATTAGCATAATCATAGCAGTATTTAGTGGTTTTATGTTGCACACTTATAGTGTTTGTACTCCATACATTGTATTTATATTTAAACTTAGAGGTATTTTTTGGTCTGGGTTAGAGTGCAAGAATACCACCCAATGGGTTAATGAAGAAGGGTCCTCAACCTTAGTACTATTCAGATAAATTATAGTTCAAARTGGCAGAAAAGAAAGTTATGACATGTGAATAAGTATACAGCCTCATTAATTAACACTTGTGTGTTCTATAGGAATTACATTTTTCAATTGATAAAAGCAATAAGATGGTGCCATCAAAATGATGTCATTCACAGAGGTAAAATGAATAAGATGTGATTTCTTAGTAATTTTTTTCCTTTTCTGTTGAGTGAATTCAATACTTTCCATATGTAGTCCATTAGCAAATTGCTTGACTGATTGTAATGATTCTTTTTGCAGATATTAAACCTGAAAACTTGCTTATTAGTAAAAATAACGTTCTCAAGCTTTGTGATTTTGGTAAGTTTGAAACCAGTTCTAGCCCAAAAGAGTTTATAAATTCATTAATTATATAAAGACATAAAATAAATCACACACTAATTTATCATTCTGCTTTAGTATTAACCCTGCAGCAGAAACTAAATAAGTATTSTAAATCAGTTAAAATAACTGTTTCATAAAAGCGGTTTCACCTGTTTGCAAGAATGACAACTTTTTTATGTATGCTTACTATAGGCTTTGCTAGAGCCATGGCAACTAATGGCAGTGCGCAGCTCACAGATTATGTAGCAACTAGATGGTACAGATCACCAGAGCTTCTTCTAGGGTATGTTGGAGACCTTTTTGGGTTTCTGTGACATATAAAGGCTTTGCACCATCACGTGTCAGCAGCCAATGATGTAAGATGGCAAGAACAATACAATCGTTTTACACAATAAATCATTAAATTCCAAAAAGCAAAGTGATTTTAATTTTGTGYCATCTAACCAAAGGCAGCTCAAGCTGTATTATTGGTGCCGGCACGTGATGGTGCAAAGCCTTTATTGCATATTTATGGTCTTACATCAATTTATGGGAATATTTATACTACTTCTTAAGTTGAACTCTGGCGTCCTTTGTCTCTAGTGCTCCATATGGTAAACCAGTAGACATCTGGGCAATAGGCTGTATCCTAGGAGAATTAAGCGATGGACAGGTAAATGTAGACCACTAAAGCATGTATCTGTACTTAAAGTAGGTGTATTATTACTGACCAACACAGCCCAAGATTTCTGGATTTAATACTTCATTTTACAGTTCCATTCAGTGACCACGAAATAATAGTTCCAAGCTGAGGTTGGATTTGCCGTGGAAGATAAAAAGTATAGATTTACTATGCGCAGAAACTCCAGCCTTGACTTGGAACTATYATTCGTGGTCACTGAATGGAACTGTAAGATGGAGTACTGTGGCTTATTTTAATCAAAAAAGATTAGCTCAAACTGTCAGAAATTTTTGATTGACAAAGGCCAAAGGTCCAGATATCTCCAATATAGAGCTCTAGTTTCTGAGCTGCATTGTAATGGAAATGAGGATGTATCAATTACTAAATCATTTTCTTACTGCCCCTAGCCTGTTTTCCCTGGCGAGAGTGAAATAGACCAGCTCTATACAATACAAAAGGTAAGATACCTTGAACACATGGTTATTTAAAGGTGATTGTCAATCTACTGACTGAATTACCAGCGCTGCTGGACATTTATGGAAGAGGCACTGAATAAGAAATAAATATCATTATTATTATTATTATTATTATTATTATTATTATTATTGTTTATTCATCAGGTACT